AATAGAATAGGAGAAATAGAATAGAATAGGAGAAATAGAATAGAATAAAATAGAATAGGAGAAAGAGAATAGAATAGAATAGAAGAAAGAGAATAGAATAGAATAGGAGAAATAGAATAGAATAAAATAGAATAGGAGAAAGAGAATAGAATAGAAGAAAGAGAATAGAACAGAAGAAAGAGAATAGAATAGAATAGAATAGAATAGGAGAAATAGAATAGAATAAAAGAGAATAGGAGAAAGAGAATAGAATAGAATAGAATAGAATAGAATAGAAGAAATAGAATAGAATAGAATAAAATAAAATAGAACAGAACAGAATACCTTTATTGTCATTGCATTCCATGAATACAATAAAATTTGAAAGCTACTCCAGCACAGTGCCCCAAACACATCACAATCACACTACAGAGTATTTAATAACAACAACAATAATAATAAACCCAGTCTAAAACCTATCTAAAACATTTAGTAAGTTAAATAGTTTAAAAATGCCACTCTAAAGAAGCTTCTTGGATGAGAAGCGAAACGTCTTCAAAAGTAAAACAAGAAAGGCTGGTTACCTCCTGAAAAAAGCACCTTTGGGACCGTTCTAATCAGTGCTTATGGCCTCTGATCAGATTCTACACAGTTTCCCCGTCAGCCATTCATTCTTTGATAAAACCATCCTCTCTCAAGGAGGAGGGAAATTCAGACGATTCCACAAATTCTGGTCTCTCGGGGTAGAATTGAATCCCACCGGGAAGGAAAATTGCATTTCAGAGGAGGAAAAAAGTCTTCTTCGAACATCAGCGCCTCTTTGTTTCGCAAGTTTCCTTGTTTCTGAACACACGGGATTATGCGTGCTATCAATGCCCTGCGTTTTATTTTTTTTTAAATTCTGCTTTCGCTTCTGTTATTTGCTGGACTTAAGCGTGGAGTGGGGAGAAAAATCTACAAAACACAGCTTTTGGTCAAGGAAATTTAAATAGCATTTAATTTCGTTGTACGAGGTGCGATGACAATAAGCTAAATTAAATTAAACTTTAAAAAAAAGCATACAATAGAATACTTTATTGGCCAAGTGTGATTGGACACACAAGGAATTTGTCTTGGTATTTGGAACTGGTCTCTCAGTACACATAAAAGAAAAGAGACGAGAAGAGAATTATCAGGTACGACACTTAATGATAGTCATAGGGTACAAATAAGCAATCAGAGAACGGAAGGAGAGTGGCCACCTTTATAGAAATTTTTCTTTGTTCAGCTCTGGAATTTTTTTCTCCATTTCCAGATGTAAGAATATGGGGGGAAAGGGGGAAATCTGTCTAACTTCAACCACCATCATCATTTGGTGGAATTATCTCCTACCTCCCCGTTTGTGCTGTTATGTCACAAGTATCCCCTGGGGTCGGTCCTTCTCCTAGATTCTCATTCCTCAAACAGCGGATGCTGACACTTGTCTTCAATCTCATTGGCTTGGGAGAGGGTTTTTCCCAGATCCCGTCACCTGGCACAGCTCAGGGAGGGTTTTTATAAAAGGAGATGCGGCAACCGGGGAAGAATACACTGAAGCTAGTCTGCCTCGCAGCTTCTCTCTCGCAGCTTCCCAAACAAAATTTATCCATCATGACGATGCTGGGCAGGTTTGTTGCGGTGCTTCTGCTGACCTGGAGTATGTGTGCAGCTGCTCTGCCGGGGGAAGAAAACTTTTCTGCACAGACCAGCAGGGTAAGGGGTTTTTTTGGGGGGTGGGGGAATAAATTGACATTCCTCTGATATCGGAGAAAAGGGGGCGCTTTTTAAGGAAAGCGGGCTTTAAAAAGAATAATGGAATAGTCAGGCTGGAGGGACATCGGGGCATGAAAAATATATATATATATATTTGTAATAAGGGGTGTGCATTAGGCGGTCCCCGTGAAGGAATCAGAGACGAAGAAAGACAAACTTTTCGTTGGAAACAGGAGGAGGCTGGCTTGCAAATGGGGGAGGTTTCTTCCACTTTCTGGAAAGGGAGGCTTTTCCAAGTTCTCTCTCTGCAGAAAGGATTTCCTGGAATTTCCTGGATTTTCTGCCCATGTGGCTTCAAATCAGATCCAGCAGTGTTTAGCTTTCCAAGCTATGCTCAGACAGAATTCCCTTGGGAGGATGAGGTCCCTTGCGAACGCCGTGGACCTGTTAATTTCTACTGTGCTCTCCTTATTACAGCTAGTCCTCGACTTACCACAGTTCGTTTAGTGGCCCCTTTGAAGTTACGACGGCACTGGAAAAACCTGACTTTAGGACAGTTTTTACGATCTTAGTATAACCCTACGTTCCTGAGATCAAAATTCAGACCCTTGGCAATTGACTCGTATTTAATGACCGCTGCTGCGTCCTGCGGGGTCATTTTTGGCGACTTTCTGATGAGCAGTGTCAGCAGGGAAGCCAGAAGTAAGGTCTTGAAGTGGGGTGAAACTAACTCAGCCCTCAAACTGACTTAACCATGTTTCGCTTAGCCATCAAAATTTTGGGCTCCGCTGGGATTGTAAGTCATGGGCTACCTGTATAAATAGGAAGGGGGGGGGACTCTCTTGAAAATCTAAAATTGGATGTGATTTACCTGTATAAATAGGAAGGGGGGGGTCTGCCTTGAAAATCTAAAATTGGATGTGATTTACCTGTATAAATAGGAAGGGGGGGGTCTGTCTTGAAAATCTAAAATTGGATGTGATTATCACAATCTCTATGTGAATTCCCCTGGGTTTCCCCTCACCCCCCTCCTTCAAAGAAAACTTCTTTCTTGCAAGGATGAAAAAAAATATATATCTCACTGTCCCTTCTCTCCTTTTCTCTCCCTCTCCTCTCCTGCCTCCTTCACGGCCATAAGGAGCCATCCAAAGCTCAGAAAATCCTCGTTCTGAAAATGCTAGCAGGGCTCCTAAACGGAGTCGACGCAGATCACGAGGCAGCGGCTTTCGCCGACTTCCAAGATCCTCTAGAAAGAAAGCTGGAGGAAGAGCCCTTGATGCTGGGGCCCTCACCACACCTCAGCCCCCGAGACCGCAAAACTCCGTGTAAAAACTTCTTTTGGAAAACTTTCACTGCCTGCTAACAAACCCTCCAAGGCCTTTCGGGCATCCGGAGCTGTTCTCGCCAGAAGAGAAATACATCACCGCCTGTGTGGTTCCCGCCCGATCAGATGAGCCTCGATCTGCAGGCAGGGTGGTGGGTGGGGAGGGGGCTTTCTCATCCCATTTTGCAACCTAAGTGAGCCGACGCCTCTTTTGTCAAATGCTGCAAGTTGGATGGGTGGGTGGGTGGGCTGAAGGCGAAGGACTGGGTCAGTTTGCTGCGAATCACGTCCCCCCACCCCTGAGTCTTGCTAAGCTGTGGCCAGCGATCTCTTTGCCTTTTGTGGCGTTTCCCCTTTTCTGGCTTTTCTCCTTTTCCTCATCAAAGTACAAACTCTGATTCTGTGATTATTTAATTGACAAATAAAGCATGGCCTGAGAACATTGGGCTGCCCAGTCTTATGTTTATTTTCCGGTTGGTCTCTCTCTCTCTCTCTCTCTTTCTCTTTCTTTCCCATCTCTCTCTTTCTCATTCTCTGTTTCTCATTTTCACTCTCATCCTCTCTCTTTTTCTTTTTCTCATTCTGTTTCTCATTCTTTCTCATTCTGTTTCTCATTTTCTCTTTTTCATTCTCCCTTTTTTATTTTCTCTATTTCTTATTCTCTCTCTTTCTCATTCTCTCTCTCCCTTTCCCATCTCTCTATCTCATTCTTTCTCATTCTGTTTCTCATTCTCTCTTTATCATTCTTTTTCTCATTCTCTCTTTCTCATTCTGTTTCTCATTTTCTCTCTCTTTTTCATTCTTTATTTTCTGTTTCTCGTTCTCCCTTCCTCTCTCTCTCTCTCTCTTTGTGTGTGTGTGTTTCTCTCTCTTTCAAAAACCGGGGGAGGGCAGCTCCTGATTTTAATCACAGAAAAAACTTCATGGATGGAGAAAACATCAAATGCTAAGTAGAATGGATGCCTGAGGCAAGGGATATGGCTAGAGCTGCAGACAGATATTATGGCATCTCACAATTTGTGCAAATGCCCCTTAAAGCCCTTTTGAGGTTGGGAGCTGCATAGGAAACAAGTCGCTGATAAAAACTACCAGGCACTCTCTGGTTAGTACAGATAACATGTGGATGCCGCTAGCTCTGAGACAGAATAATAATGGGAGGTTGAGATGTTATCAGTCAGAGTCAAAGCAACCAAGGTCACGCCTCCTTAGCTTTGCTCAAAATCTGACTGACTTCTGGAGCAACGTTTGGGGTGAAAAGGAAGCATCAATGCTCCAATCAATACCTCAGTTACGGGACCAGCCCTTCTCTCAGGCACCTTTGATAGCAATACACAGTCCTGCTTGAAATCTCAAAGTGATAATTCCACCCACAAAGAAAACTTTTTTTCAACTACATCCCTCAAGCTGCATCCTCCCAAATCCAGCTTTTGCCCTGAGAGCTAAAATCCCATAGCATTAACTTCCAATTCTCTACCAGCAACAAACGAGCGACAGGCTGTTTTTCCGTTGGTTAACCTTCGGCACCGTTAGCTGCAACTTTTGTAAAAAAACAAAAACTCAGGAATCAGTTTTGGAGTGTGATTTGGCTTTCACCGCTTGCAGGTTGCAAGCGCGAACCAACAAACAAGCATCCAACTTGGTAAAATTCAGAACAGTACTTTTTATGTATGCAAATTGGGTAGCCCGGAAGAAAAATGAGATACGCCACCATGCCAAACTGGGAGAGAGGAAACCAGCCAGCGGTGAATGTGCTTGCATGGAGAGCACTGATTGTGTTTACAGGATGGGCATCCCTGTGGCTAGGCATTCGGTGATTTGCTCAAGTGGCCTCATGTGGAGGCCTTGCATCATGCACGGAATACAAACTAGGCACAGAAGCTTTGACAAACACCTTAATGTGCAGTCTGTGCTCCAGGACGTTGTGGGACCGTATTCCTTCCTGTTAGATTCATGGTGAGCAGTGGTGGGATTCAAATTCTTTTTTTACTACTGGTTCTGTGGGGCGTGGCTTGGTGGGCGTGGCAGGGGAAAGGATACTGCAAAATCCTCCCCACCCCACGAACCTGCTTTCCAGCTCCGTTCTCCTGGGCAGGGCAACCAAAGGAGACCCAGCCAATCAGCTGGGAGGCAGCAATAGACCAACCATGCCCGTCAGCTGGGAGGCAGCGAATAGATCGATTGGGTACCCCAACCTCACAGGATAGGCCACACTGCAGCCCCCTGGGAGCCAAAATGTGTCAAGAGTATATTCATGAACTGGAATAAAACTGGAGGTCAGCCAGTGAATAGGGACAGCAACTAAGTCAGCCAATGAGGACTGTTTGGAAACCGAAACTAAAGTAGCCTAGGCGTGGCTCTATATTAAGCTCTGCAGCTCTGAAGAGCTCTGAGCCTGTCTGTTGAAGATGAAACTAGCTTGCTTGCCTGCTGAACTAAAGTGAAAGTGATGCCTTGTTTCTGAGCTGCGGAAGTTGCTGCCGAAGCTCTGAACTTGCAACACGTTTCTGTCTGAGTCTGCTCCATGTCGGAGAAATCTACAGCTGGTTTGTAAAATCTACTTATTATGTTTATAAAGAGGTTAAAGGAAGCACCAGCCATCTGCGTTTAATTTTTCTGGTGCTGAATTGACGCTGCAAAGCTCTGAACAAAATGGTGCGCGTGGAGAATCCTGGATGCAGGTGGACGGGGCCAGTCAGAGGTAGTATTTGCCGTTTCTCTGACATGGTCATAGTTTCTGCTACTGGTCCATCAGAACCAGTCCGAACCGGCTGAAGACTACCTCTGATGACGAGCCCTTCCATGCAGCACCTTCTCAAGAACATTAACGGTCAGGGTGAGGAAGATCAATTAGGAGGCTGGCTGTCCCTCCCTTGTCTCGGGCAATCCCAGCATTCTTGGTTGTCGTTGTAACTGCACCCTTCAGGGAGGAAAGCACACACAGGGGCAGCTTGCTGTGAGTAAGAGCTGTTGGGCCCAGATGACCTGGCGGTGGGGGAGAGAAGACACCGAAAGAAGGCGAATCCAAGAAGAGCCTTCGTTTTTATTCCGTTTTTGCTTCTTCAACCGAATCATAGATGCTTAACGGAGCAGAGCACAAATTAACAGCCAGCATTTAAACAGGAAGAAGTCATCATGAGTAAAAAGCCAAGTTATTTTTTTTTCCTTTGTTTCAATAGGAAGTACCCACTGTCCAAACCATCCTAAATGAAGACGACAAAGTGCACAACTAACCGAGTAAAACACACAAGAACTGACAGCCAATACAAACCTTCCCCTTATGCAACATCTCGGCTGAGGCCACCATTCCCAAATTTATGGGGCTATAGCCCGAAAGATGAGGGTTCTGCTTCCATGTTGGCTACTTGATCTGTCACTAAACAGGGAGAAGAGCCACAATTCCTGTAAATGCCAGAGTCAAAAAAAAAAAACCTACATAAATTAATAAATAAAACCCCACCAAAAGAAAGCTGGGCAAAATATACCTGTAATTTCATAAACTGGCGTTAAACAATATGCACCGAAATACATGATGCAGGCAATAAAATTAGAATTGCAAGAGATATAATGATCCACACAGGGCTAATTTAAATCCAGGCACTTCAGGTTTACTTTAGCAAAAAGAGCTATGAGGCTCAGAACTGAAAATCCCACCAGGCTGATGACATGTTTTACAAAAGAACTTCCTTTCCAGGCTGGGCCCTTCAACTTCCTTAATGGAATAATAGTGGCCAACTCGTACCTAGAAATGCAAAGAAATCGGGATACCAATCAATCTTAATTCTTCCCTTCCAGAAAATATATTTTTTTCCTTTTATTTTAAACATGTAACGCTGGTCATTTTTTCGCCTGTTTTTCATTGCGGTAAATAGATGTGACTTCATCACATTCTCATCTGCCCGAAATAATTGTCAGAATATTTCAAACAGAGAAATTGTGGCAGAAAACTTAAAACCTGCCTTCCAGGCTTCTGAGTTCGGTAAAATGAGGACCTGGATGGTTGGGGGCAAGAGGCTGACTCTGTAAACCACTTAAGAGAGGACTGTAAAGCGGCATATAAGTCTAAGTGCTATTCCTTCTTTCCTTCCTCCCTCCCCCCCTCCCTTCTTTCCTTTCCTTTTTAGCGGTTAGAATGCAGTATTGCAGGCTAACTCTGCCCACTGCCATCAGTTCGATCCAGACCGGCTCAAGGTTGACTCAATCTTCCATCCTTCCCAGGTGGATAAAACGAAGACCCAGGTTGTTGGGGATAATAGCCTGACTCCGTAAACCGCTTAGAGAGGGCTGTGAAACGCTGTGAAGCGGCATATAAGTCTAAGGGCTATTGCCACCTGTGCTTGCGCAGCAGTAATCACCAAAATCGATGAATTGAAGATGGATTCTGTGGCTCTCCATGCCATACCACAGTAGGTATCTAATAATTTTTTTTACCTCCCCTGGCCAGAGATTCTCCATGTAATTGAAAAGTCCCATGAAAAGAATCGAAGAGCTAGAAGAACGAGGTATTTACTATCAGGGGGTGAGGGTGACCATTTTAAAAAAAAAAAGGCAAGAGGAAAATTATCCTCCTTCATCCCCGCCATTGACAGGGGCTTAACTTCCTGCCCACCCGCCAGGCTGAATTTAACAGGCCTGCAAGAGCTAGAAATTGCCTCTGATGAATTGGTCGTGAAGTCTGCCTCCTGGGCTGCCACGCCAAGGGATGAGCCATTATTCTTCCAATTTAGCTCACAGATGTCTTTTAATAGGTATTACGACTCTCCATATGGGGCCCTCTTCACAGCACGCAGGGCAGCTGTCCGGCCTCACCTTTTACGCCCACCTTCCGAGGGCCAGTTAATCAGAATGAATGAGCTGTTCTCTTCCACCCCAAATGGCGGGCGGGTGGGCTCAATATACTTTTTTCTTTTTGCTCAATTGATCAGCTACTTCGAAAGGTGCGTCGTCCCGGTGAGGGTATCTTTTTTATGAAAACAAAAAATAAATAAATGCCAAACTCTAAATGTCCTCGGGAGATTTTCTGGACAAGTTTTGCTTTCGAGAAAGGATGTGACTTGTTGGAATTGGGGTGGTAGTGG